AGAAGTGAAGTCTAAGAAAATCATATTGAAACCAACCCCTTGTTTTCTGCTGAAAGAAGGATCTAAACTAAGCAGGCACTTTATAAACATTTGCTCATTTGATCCTGATGAAAATATTTTTTATGTAGATGGTAACCTTTCATAGATAAGAAAATTAAAGTTACTAAAGTTTAACAGTGTACTTGGTTCTGTTTGTTTATATTCTATCTCATTCCAGATGGACTTGCACTCAGATTTGAGCCTCATCTGTCTGGTTCCAAAGTCCAAGCTCTTTCCCTGACACTAGACTGATGCTGAGTAGCTGAGAGCCGGTCACAAAACAGACAACCAGGCGGGGAGAAGCAATGGGAACACAGCCAAGTTCACAGTGCTGAGAGGCTGTGATTTCTCAAGTGCTGCCAACAGTGCCCAGTACCTAGGCCAGGCATCCTGGTGTCTATAAACATGGACTCCACACTTATTTACTCAGTCCCCACTGTGGGAATAAAACAAAACACACCAGACAAAAATCCCTGCCTTCTTGGGGCTCACAATCAAATTCAGAGATGAGAGAGCCAAACAGATGACTATAATCTTAGATGGAAAAAACAAAAATAAAAGCTTGTGGTGATAAAATCACTTGTCCTGTTCACTTCATAATAGCCTCCTGGCTAGATATTTGGAGAAAAGACCATGGGGATTTGAATCCACTGAACTTATATCTCTGTTCTTGGAAGCATGTTTACCATAAGAGTCTATTTGTTTTCTATAAATGTAGCTCAGTGATAGAGCACTTGCTTAGCATGTGCAAAGCCCTGGCTTCCATTCCTGGTGTGTGGACATACACACACGTGCACACCAAAGGAAAAAAAAAAAAAGTTTATAAGGGCCAAAGAAGGAAGATGCATCCTCCGGGGAGCCAGAGAAATCTTTCTGGAGGGGGGCTCTTGAGTTGAGGTTCAGTTGAGTCCATCTGTACTATGGAGCTAATGGGCTCTACTACAGAGGACTCTGGTGAGAACTAAATTATATTAAGACTATAAGTATTTAGTGAGGAACCTGACACACTGGGAGGGCCTAAATAACTCCTACCACCTTGTTCACTCCTTCCTCTAATAAGTACTATTTGTTTTATAATTTTAAAAAAATTCCTTTAAAGACTTCCCATTGATCACACAATAAAGTCCATTTGTTGTTGTTGTTGTTGGCAGTGCTGAGGATCAGACCCAGGGCCTGGCACACACACATACCAGGCAAACACTCCACCATTGAGCTATATTCCCCAGGTCAAGGTCCAAAATTCTTGATATGCCCTGTACAGTTCTGCTGGATCTGTCTATGGCTTTCTTCATTCAGCTTCAACCTTCCTCATGTTCTCCTTGATCATTCTGTCCCTACAAGGTTTTTTTCCTTTTTTCTTTTTGTTTGTTTGTTTGTTTGTTTTTGGCAGTACTGGGGATTAAACCCCGGACCTTTTGCATGTTAGGTGAGTTCTTTACCACTGAGTTATAGCTACAATTCTTTTTTAAATTTTATTTTCAGAAAGTTGCCGAGGCTGGGCTCAAACTTGTGATCCTCCTACCTCAGCCTCCTGGGATTACAGGTGTATGCCATTGCACCTAGCAAAAAGAGTTCTTCCTCGACATGTGAATTTGGACACTCAGAAATGAGACAGAAGCTCAAGTCTCTGTTCCAGTAGGAGCCAACTGTTAGGTCAGAGGTGATCTGGACATGGGAGGAAAGAATTTCAGCTAAGACTTTTTTTTTTTTTTTTTAGGGCCAGGAGATCACACAATCTTGAGAGAAGATGGGACATTCTGGCACTATACTTAAGCTTCTCCCCAAAGAGGGGAAGAGGCTTGCCCAAGTTCTCCAGCCATGTGAGTGAGAACCTATGCTGGCCACTGCAGCTGTTGCCTCCAGCCTCAGGAAGAAAAAATTAAGGCAAGAAGTTGTAGGTCTCTGGCACAGAGTGTTGACGCTAGTGCCAGAGATTTAAAGATCTGAAGGTTCAGGCTTGTGGGACCTCAAACAAGTCATTCCCCCTGTTTGTTCTTTATTGTCACCATCTGTAATAGAGAGTCTTAGGTCAAGTACTCTGGAAAGCAGACTTAGATGGAAATTTGCATACAGGAGGTTTACTGGGGAACAATATCAGAGGACAGTGAGAAGCAGGGCTAGGCAGAAATTGGGTTGCAATGCAGCTGCAGTGGAGGGCTCAGCTGATCTGACAGGGGATTCTAGAGCTGGAATAATCTGTCAGAGTTGTTTCAAAGGAAGGCAAAGGGTCCAGGCCTTTGTTCATTCTCCTATCAACCAGTCATTGGAAGCAGACTATCTGGAGGGCATAACCATGAGTTAGTTTGCTCCTTTCAACCCAGGACAGTTCCCAGAGAGGGATTCAGGTCTTTCAGCAGCCAACACCCTCAATGGAATGGGGATGTGGGAAGGAATGTGTGCCCTAGACTTCGTGACACCCGAGCACCACTACAAAGGAATGCAGATGAGCATTTCTAACTGTTCTGTTTCGTGAAGCCTTCAGGTTCCAAGAAGGTGCTTCAGTGGGGGAAATCCTCTCTTCTTGAATGTGTTGTAGCTTCTGCAGAGTCTAACTTATTTCCTTGAAAGAGGTCTCCACTGCTAGGTCTTAAATGTCCTCAGAGGCACCTCATTGCTTTTTTTTTTTTTTTTTTTTGGGGGGGGGGTACACAGGGGCACTTACCACTGAGATATATCCCTAGCCCTTTTTATTTTGAGACAGGGTCTAAGTTGCTAAGGCTGGCCTCAAACATGTGATCCTCCTGCCTCAGCCTTCCAAGTTGCTGGGATGACAGACATGCATCACTCTGCCTTGCTCATGTCTCTTGTGGGGTGCTCATCACAATTGTAATGTAAATAATTTGCTGAGTAATGATCTAATATCTGTCTCTGCCACTTGACAATAAATCCCAAAGAAGCATGAACCCTGTCAGTCTCCCTCACTGTTGTATCTCTGCTGTATATAACATCTGTTGAATGAAAGAATATTAAGGAAGCTGTTAAAGATACACATTTCCCAGCTCTGCCTCCATACACTGATTCTCCAGGAGACTCTAAAGCACAAAAGGCTGTGAACCATTTCTCCAACCCACCTGCCATGACTCTGGTGAATGTTTGAAACTTGCCAGAGACTCACCCAGCTTGTTTTCCTACTCACTCTCAGCAGCCCTCAATCCAAGCATATCTTCAAAAGCCAGACAAACAAAAGAATGCAGCCACTAGCAGACTTCCCACAAACTCCGACCTGGGTAGATGTGTCCTGGTCTTAAGACTGCAGGCTGCAGAAGTCTAAAACGTATTATATTCAATCTGTATCAGTTCTCAATTTCATGTGCAAATTGAATTGAACATGATAAAAAATAATGCTGACTAGTTTGGGAACAAAAGCAATGCCACGTAGAAAACCCTGGAATCAGACTGATAAGGGTTCCAGTTCTACCTCATTTGCATAATCTTTGGCAAATTTCTTCCCTTTTTGGGGGGTGGTGGTGTACAAAGGATTGAACCCAGGGGCACTTTACCACTGAGCTACATCCCCAGTCCTTTTTATTTTGAGACAACGGTCTAAATTGTTGAGGTTGACCTTGTACTTGTGATCTTCCTGAGCCTCCTGAGCTGCTGGAATTACAGGTGTGTGACACTGCACCTGGTATGGCAAATTTCTTAATACTGAATTGCTCACCAGTACAAGGCAGAGATCCCTGAACTGTGCTAGGTGGCTTTCATGCATTAATTTTTACAACCTTCCTGTAATCCGAAATATAAATTCCTTTCCATACATAAGGAAATTTAGGAGAGAGACCTGAAGTAACTTGCTCACAGTCAAGGCATTGATGTCAAAGCTGGAATTGAACCTAGGTCTACCTGCTAAATTGATGTTCCCTAGATCTCATCTATGGTTCCATTTCCACATCTGTACAGTGGAAACACCACTCCTTTCTCAAAGGGCTGTTGTGAAGATTAAATGTGAAAACATTTGATAACAGCCACATTCCACAATGCTACCTAGAAAAGAAATGGAAATATTTTATTCCAATTTTTGTGGTTAAGGAGACTCGAAGCCCAGTGAAATTAATTAATAGCCTCCCCACCCAGGGATACAAGTGGCTAAGTCAGAGCCAGAATCCAAGCTTTGGACTCAAAGTCTGATTCACATTCTCTCACACTCTCAAATGACTCTAGAAGGAAAAGCCAATGTATAGATATACTGCAAAAATAAAAAGCTACCTCAAGGTAAAAGTGAACTTGAGAGTCAATTGGGGGAGGCTTCCAGTAAGGTCTAGTTTTCAGTTTATGACAGTAGTGTTCAGAGCAAATGGGAAGCCAGAATAAGCTTTAGCTTAGTCATGATGTGGTTTTCCTGATGAACTTCTTAGTTCCTGGTGCCCAGAGAAGTTAAGAAGCTTGACTAAGGTCACACAGCTATAAATGACATGGGCACAATTTAACTCCTTAAACCTGATTCTGTCTCCTTGGTGCCTCTAGAAAGGGAAGGATGAGAAGCAGATCATAATATGGTAGGGTGGGGGACCTCCAGTAGTACGAGAAAACAAAACAAGGTGAGATGCCAAGGCCTCAGTGTCAAACAGATGGATCCTGGCTTCTCCAAGGACTAGCTATGTGGCCTCAGCAATGTCATTTCACCTCCAAGTTAATTCCCTTGCAAGATTGTGGCAAATTCAGAGAAATGGCCGCCACATATCCACCCCAGGACGAGGCTTGGTTGAAAATGACGTGGTCATTGTTAGTTTACCATGCCAGATCAGCTAGATTTGGGTGGCAGGGCTGGACACCCAAGCCACAGAAGTTAAGACTTTCAATGTCAACAATTCCAACCCTGCAATCAATGACACAAGTAATCGGCAGGGCAGGGACTGTCAGGTCAGGTCCATGATGCAATCATAGCTCTCTGCTTGTGTTATGAGATGAACCCTGGCCTTCAGAAAATGGAAAAACAGTCCATTAACAATGAGTACAAAACAAAACCTTGGTGAACTTTTATTTCTTATCATACGTAACTGTTAACAAGGTCAAAGATTTCTGCACTTGAACACTGGATACCCTTCCCACCCAACCCAGGAGACAATAACAGAGGCATCATGTCCCCTCTAGAACTCAAACCCCCATGCTGGGCCCCTTTCCCTCTGGCCCACCTTCTTTGTGGGGAGGGCTTTCAGGCCTTAGGGGGTGCCCAGTTGCTTTCCCGTGCCTGCACGGGTATGAAATGTGGCACACTGGCAGGCTTATCTCCTGCCCTGCCCCAGGGAGGAGGGTCAGAAGCAGCAGCATTGTGGCCCCTGCCTTTCTCAGGTACCTCCAAACTGGATCAAGAGGAGGCACCTACTGCTAAGAAGGGCAAGAGAAGCCATAATTCACAGTTGTTTGCTACAGAAAGTGCCTGGGATTAGTCCTTGGCTGCTTCTGCCTCCAAGCAAACCTAAAATCTAGGAGAGGGGACAGATCAGATGCCAGGATGGGGGTGAGGGTCCTTGGAAGGCAGCCAGGAAAAAACAATTATAGGAATGGGGGTCCCCAGAGGACTTTGTAATATCTTGTAAGAAAAATCAGCTTGCTGTTGACAGGTTGGCCTGAGATCCCAGGGCAAAGCCTCAGACACTGGGGAAACTCAAACCCATCCCTTCGTCTGCAACTGTGGTGGTCAAGGTGGCCTGGCAATGTGGCATGGTCGCCCAATCAGTGGCAGGGCCCAAACGAGAACCCTGGTGTCTGCCTCTCTTACTGAGTCTCAGTGCCACCTCAGCCACCTAGAAAGGCCCCGCTTTTTGGCAAATATCCTTGGCAGAGCTCCAGCCTCTACAGGCAGCACAGCCTAGGGCGAAGAGGCTCCCTCTGCTCCTCCCAGATATCAACTGTGGCTCCAAGGGTGAGGCCGAGAAGAGGACTGACCTCAACCACAAAGGACCCAAACACAGAGAATCTATCATCAAATACTTCTTCTTCTTCAGAGGCAAAGTGACCAACAGTGGCTCCAAATCTCCAGAAACAGTTCACATCCAAAAGGTTGGGTCTGGCTTCTCTCCTGGGGTCTCCCACCTCAAATCACCGGAGAAAGGCATACAAGGGCAAAGAAGGTAAGAGAACTAAACTAGGATTCAGGCAACGAGGGTACCAGGGGGTCTCCATTCTGCCCAACAGAAAAGGCTTTTGGGGAACAGGGCACACAGGCCAGCTGTGACCCTGGCTTTCACATTAATGGGTGAACAGCAAGTGGGAGGTAATGAACTCTGAGAATGATGGGGGAAAGAAGGCAAAGCTGCCTGGAGTGTTAGTCCCTGGAGGTCTTTGGCCCTCTCTCACAGGGGCTAGCCAGGGACTTCCCAGTCCAGGAAGGCCACAGCACTTGTGGTGCCTGGGGCTCAGCCTGCTGGCACACAAGTCCGAGGTTGGCACATTTCCCTTCTATGCCTTCTGCCTCTGGGGGGCAGGGGAAGGAAAAATGCATAGCCCCTTGGGATCTCCTAATCCTCTTCCAGTTCCCAGGGACAGAGCTGGGATCCCAGAGTCAGTGCAGTGATCCTGTCCATTCCAGTGAGAAAAAAAGAGGGTGTGGCTCGGGGGCTGCACATCACACAAGCCCACCCACAGCAGGGTGGGGATGGGCATGGAACTGAAAGGGTCCCAGATCTGTCTCCAGATGGAATTCTTCCAGGGAGGAGGGTATCCCCAGGATCAGCTGCTCCAGGTATGGTTCCTACGTGGGAGGGAGTCAGGTCATGTAGCGGGTGATGGCACGGAGGGCGTACAGCAGGGCAGCTTGCATACGGGCCTCCAGGAGTAGCAAGTTCACATGTACCTGGGATACAGAGCAAGGCTTGTTAATGGATCCTCTACCCTCCCAGACTGCCACTATCCCTGACCACTCACCTCACCCTTCCCTTTTGCCACAGAGATGTCCTGACCTTTGATAGTGCTCTGAGCAATTTGGTACAATGACCACTGAAGAACTTCCAGTGCATTCTTCCTTATCATGATTAACTTCTTTATCCCACAGGGCTAAATAAGAGCTACCATTAACTGTGCAGGATCAAGGGTTTACAATACATCTTTTCATTTCATCTTCCCAACAACCTTGATGGTGGCAGAATTGATTCCCATTGTAAAGTGGGAAAGCTCAGAGAGGTGAAGAGACTTGCCTCAAGTCACAGTGTTATGATTTGAACTTATGTCTACCAGTCTGCCACTGAGGACACTGGGTGAAGCTGGTACCCGTGTTTCCATTTTACAGGTTTGTTAGCAGCTGAGGAGGATGTAAACTCAAGACAACATGCCCAGGTATCCCACCTCCCTGGCCTCTCCACTGGCTGGGCCCATCTACCTCCATCCTGCTCCTCCCCATGGGTCATACCTTCTCTGAGTGGCGGAAGTGCCTCCAGAAGTGGTTGTACATTCTTCGGGTGGTCTTCTCTGGATAGCAGGCTACTGTCTTGATATAGACCTTGAGGTTCCGTTCCAGGAGCTGGTTCACTTCCCCATAATCATAATCATCATATCTGGAAAGACCAACAGCATTGCTCATCCTCTGTTCCCAAAAGGAAAGCTCATTTCCCACCCCCACCCCATAGAAAGAGGAACAGAGAATGGAGAGAAAAGGCAGAAGGTAGGAAGCAACAAGAAGTCCAGTTCCTCTTAGAAGAAGTTAATACCATATATCACAGGCCAACAAACTTGTGGGGGACCAGTCCAAGGAATGCACAGAGAATGAGCATGTTGAACTGAGTACCACCAATGTGCCATGTGACCAGGTATTCATGGAATTCTCAGAACTACTACACACTACTGTGATATACAGCTTTATATACAATACACTGTACTCATGAATCCCACTTTGCAGATGAGAAAATTGACACTCGAGGTGTCACTTTCTCTAAGTCAGACAGCAGGGAATGGGTTTCAAACCCAGCTCTGTCTGTCTCCAAGGCTGAAGTCACACTGAGTCACAGAGAAATTCAGAGAAAAATTTAGAAGCAACGACCATGTTGGAGAGTGAAGACTCCTAAACCTGAGGGCTGGGAAAAAACTACCTTTCCCACATTTTAAAATGCCATCTTGCCATCCCAGAGGTGGAACTCCATAATGATCAGCAAGAGGATGGCCCAGTAGGTATAGCTCATTCAATGAAATACGATTTATAGCTACACAGAAAAACAGTTTTTTTAATATATATATATTTTTAGTTGTCAATGAACCTTTATTTCCTTGACTTATTTATGTGTGGTGCTGAGGATTGAACCCAGTCCCTCACACGTGTAAGGCAAGTGCTCTGCCACTGAGCTATAGCCCCAGCCCCAAGAAAAACAATTTTTCTACAAGCAACATGTACAGCAGAGCCTATTTTTTGTTGTTGTTGTTGTTTTTTTTTTAAGTTGTAAATGGACACAATGCCTTTATGTGGTGCTGAGGATCAAACCCAGTACCTCACACATGCTAGGCAAGTGCTCTATCACTGAGCTACAACTGCAGCCTCTGGGAATAATTTTTTGATACTCAGTATAAACAATTGAATGAGAAAAGCAAGAAAAAAAATCATATGTTTACTGAACTACACTAATGTTTTTAATATGAGTAAAATATGTAAAAGGAGTAGGCAAGAAAATGGCAGCAGATCTTGTTTTTGTAAAATTATATATATCTTGGTTATTTGTGCATAGAAAAAAAAACATAAAGTATCTTATGGTAATAAAAGCTGGTGGTGTCATGGATATTTTTTTTTTTTTTTCCTCCAGTGCTGGGAATTAAACCCTGAGCCTCACTCATGCTAAGCAAATGCTCTACCACTGAGCTACTTCCTGGGCCTTATGTTTTCTAAATTTTCTAAAAATCAAGGTTTTATTTCTCTTTACAAATACCCAGTATATTTTTTCAAGTGAAGTAGCCACTATAATTTGAACTATATAAAAGCAACTACATAAGAAAGAAAAAATAGCAAGAAAAACATCTTGGGATATGGATGAGGTTGAACTGGGGTAGCAGATTTTTGGGAAATTTCTTATTTCCTTAATTTTTTGTTGATTTTTTTTTTTCATCATGCTATCAGAGTGACTTTTTGTTTGTTTCTTTTCTTGGCAGTACTAGGAATTAAACTCAGACTTTGAGCAGGCTAGGCAAGTGTTTTACACATTATAGGTGTGTGCCACAGCACTGGCTTTTTTTTTTTTTAATAACAAAATAATTGTTCTAGGTTTAAATCTGACAAGTAATATCCTATCTAGGATTTATCTACAAGAACTTGTGTAGCCAGGCGTGGTGGTTCACACCTGTAATCCCAGTGATTTGGGAGGCTGAGGCAGCAGGATCGAAAGTTTGGCGCCAGCTTCAACCTAGTGAGACCTTAGGCAATATAGTGAGACGCTGTCTCAAAGTAAAAAATGAAAAGGACTGGGGATGTGGCTTTGTGGTTGAGTGTCCCTGGGTTTGGTTTCTAATACCAAAAAAAAGAGCTTACTTATAAAGCCTAGTCAGTGCACATGGTATTTTTAACATTGAAAAACTGCAAACAGGGCTGGGGATGTAGCTCAGTTGGTAGAGTGCTTGCCTTGCATGACAAAGTCCTTGATTCAATCCCCGGCACCCGCAAAAAAGAAAAACTGCCAACAACCTAAATATCCAACAACAGGAAAATGAATGAATAATTATAATATATCCATAACAGAATACAATGCACTGGTTAAAAAACATTAAGAAATTTATTCATACTGATAAGAAATGTGGTTCACACTACATTATTAGATGTGAAAAAATCAAACTGCAGAACATATTGACTATTGTGCCATTCGTTTAAAAACAACACCTACTCAAAAGTCAGAAAAGAGGACCAGAGATGTAGCTCAATGATAAAGCACTTGCCTAGTAGGCACAAGGCCTTGGGTTCAAAACCCAGCACCATTTAAAAAAAAAAAAAAAAATCAGGGCTGGGGATGTGGTTCAAGCAGTAGCGCGCTCGCCTGGCATGTGTGTGGCCCGGGTTCAAGCCTCAGCACCACATACAAACAAAGATGTTGTGTCCGCCAAAAACTAAAAAATAAATATTAAAAAAAACTCTCTCTCTCTCCAAAAAAAAAAATTTTTTTTTAAATCAGAAAATATTTAGAAACAACAAATGTCATTTAGCATGGTGTACTATACAGATAACCACTGTTAAATAACATTTTCCATGAACAAGTAAGCATTCAGAAAAAAAGGAACAAAAAGAAGATTTTGGTTGGTAAGCTTCTTTTCTTTCAAAACATTTTGAATGTTTTCCCATGGCAATATAAATATATCTCTATATTCATATTATAATATTATAATAGTTGCATATTTCTGTTTTTGTTTTGTTTTGTTGTTTTTTTCCCCCAGTGCTAGGGATTAAACCCAGGGCCTTACACCATTGGGTTTTATCCCCAACCCTTAATTGCTGCACAATATTTCACTAAATGGCCATATCATTATTTAAAGTCCCCTATTGATGGGTATTTATGTTGTCTTTATTCACTATGAGAAAATCTGCTATTCAGAATGGAAATATAAACTTAACTCTCTCTAGTGACATGGACATATATGTGTATGCTATATATGTAACATGTTTATGTATAGTTATCTCAGCAGGTAAGATTAAGAGTTTCATTTACAAGGTTCAAGAAAGAAAATGAGCACTCCTATTATCTCTTAAAATTAGTTAAGAAATAAACTGGGCTTTGAAAAATAGTAAGCAGAAAGGAAAGGCAACAATAACAAAAGCAATAAGAGTGAGCTCAGAGAGAAGACTTGTGTGTGCATGCCCTGACAGAAGGACGTGTGCTCACCTGATGCCGAAGACGCAGTGGATGTAGTTCCATATGGCCCTGCGGAGCATGGAGGTGTCCACGCCACTGTGCATGGCGATGGTGTTGTAGGTGAGGCTATAGGCTGCCTGGAATTTCTCATCCAGCAGCTGCCCACCCTCAGGATACAGCCGCTGGATCAGTGAGTAGCCATGGTCTTCCCAGGTATAATCCTGAGGAATATTGGAAGAGTTCAGTTGATAAGTGAGACTTTGGAGCACAATGTTGGCCAGAGACCCTGTCCTCTAGACCTCTAGAGCACACCTTGCCTCTCCATAATGTTTACTTCCTATGCCACAAACCTAACATGCTGCTTGCTCTAGGCCTGAGAAACCAAGGTGGATATACCTCAGTGTTGACTTTCTCCCTGTGATCAGGACTCCCTAAGCTTGGGGAATAGATGGGTCCCTCCAGGATACATGGGGTCCCCACTGCCTTTATGGGATCTTGAGGGGAGAATGTACTCAACTCTATAACCACTCAAACCCTCTGTCCCCTGCCTATTCATAATCTGAAGCAACAACCATGACCATTAGGGAGGGCATTACCTGAGCACGGAAGGTGGGTGGGGCCTGAGCCCCTCGCCGAGTGAAGTCTTCATATCCAAAAGTGGGGTCTTCCACAAAGCACAGCATGTCTGGGTGCGGAGAGGGCTCCAGGATGTCAGCTGAGGACCATGTCAGAAAGAAGTCACTGTGAGGTGGAGACATGGAGCACAAAGGGCTCCACTCCTGATTAATCATCAAAGGGGGGCATGGGGAGGCAGAGCAGAGAGCCAGAGAGAGTCCGTCGCTAGTGAGTGGGAGCAGGACTTCAGCTGGAGCCAGGCCTGGGGGAGGAAGAGGTAAGGCCCCCAGTAACACTAATGGTGGCAGTTCCATGGGGCTGCTCACCCTAGGCCAGGCTCTGGGCTTAGCACTTTGTTTCAGTTACTCTACACAACAAACCTGAAGACCGGCAACAGGAAGTGACTAGTCAGTGGTCACACAGAAAGGCTAAAGTGATGAGACTCAAAGGCAGGTCTGAGCCCAAGGCCCATTCTTGGAACCTCTTGGCAAGGAGGCTGAAGGATGGCAGCCTCTAGAGTTCAGAGAACATGATAAATGGAGGAGTCCATTCCCACCAGATGGTGAAAGAAGGGGCAGCCCATGGACCCTGGGCTACTGTGATCCTCTACCTGAGGGAGTCACCAGCAAGCTCTCCGACTTCTCCAGCTCAAAACGGCTCTCCATCTCCTCCTGGGAGGCTCCTTCATCCCGCAACAGGCTCTCCTGTAGCTGCCTCATGCGTTCCATTAGAGCTTCCACATCCCGGGCAGCCTCAAAACCCTGAAGATGGATCCAGTAGTCACCATTTCTCTTCCCTCGCCCTGTGGAAAACTACTCACCCTTCCCACATACCAGGACTGCCTGGATGATCATAATGACTAGGGCAGCCTCCCGCACCAGCCACTGAGCTAGACAACTCACGTGGTCTATGCTTCCCAAGGGAAAGTTTATGAAGCTACAGCAGAGACATGTATTTTCCCTAAGCAGCTACTTCCCTCAGAAGTAATTTTCTTTTCTTTTTTTTTTTTTTTAAATATTTATTTATTTAAGTTCTCGGCGGACACATCATCTTTGTTTGTATGTGGTGCTGAGGATCGAACCTGGGCCGCACGCATGCCAGGCGAGCGCGCTACCGCTTGAGCCACATCCCCAGCCCCTCAGAAGTAATTTTCAAAGCATCTGTTTTCTTCTTCTTCTTCTTGTTGGTGATGCTGGAGATGGAACTCAGAGCCTCATGCATGCTACAACTGAGCTACATCCCCAGCCCTTCTTGATTTTAAGACAGAGTCTTGTTAAATTTCCAGGTTAGTCTTGAAATTGTAATCCTCCAGCCTCAGCTTCCCAAGTAGCTAGGATTACATGAGTGTACCACTATGCCTGGCTCAGGGTTTTTTGTTTTTTGTTTTTGGTGGTTCTGGGGACTGAACCCAGGGCCTCGTGCATGCAAGACAAGCACGCTACCAACTGAGCTATACCCCCAGCCCATCAAACTTTGTATTTTTAAAGTGTTAATACCCACAATAAAAGTCCAGTCACATGATATTTCACTGAATCCTCACAACCCACCGTAAGTAGGGGTCTTTATTCTCATTTAACAGACGAGGAAGCTGAGCTTCAAAGTCAAATAATTTGCTGGGCATGGTAGAACACACTTGTAATCACAGTGGCTTGCGAAGCTGAGGAAGGAGGATCATGAGTTCAAAGCCAGCCTCAGCAAAAATGAGGTGCTAAGCAACTCAGTGAGACCCTGTCTCTAAATAAAATACAAAGTAGGGCTAGGGATGTGGCTCAGTGGTTCAGTGTCCCTGAGTTCAATCCCAGGTAGCTCCCCCCACCAAAAAAAGGTCAAACAATAACTTTTCTGTGGCCTTTCAGCATGAGGACATAAGAAAGTTGTGGCTTCCGTTCAAGGACCAGAGGCCACAACAGCTTTTTGCCCCACTAAGACCCAGAACTGTAACTTACCCCAGAATTGTTCAGTGGGTCCCCACTTGGAGGGCTGCTTTGCTCACTGGGGGGTGATGGTGCCTGAGGGGCAGGACTTCCCTCTGGATCTCCCTCAGGAAGGATGCCACAGCCAAACACAAAGGAGGCCAGTGAGTGGCAGTGAGTGAGTAGGACTAGGGCTTGGATGAGTTCGGCCAGAGACCAGCTATGTTCCCCAGTCTTCAGCAAGGCCTGGAGGGGAAAGAAGGTCAGATCTGCTCAGTGTCTGCCCCTGGGTTTCCTGTCCAGCCCCAGCCTGGCCACTGGGCTCCCTCAGGGCCATGCCTCTCGGCCCACTGCACCTGGATGTGCTCCTTGGTGATGAGCCACGGCCGATGTGCCAGTAACTTGTTGATTTCGCTAAGTTTTCGCAGCTTCTCAGGGGCCCGATGGAGACCCAGCAGCCACTCAGGGTCACCACCAGTCTGCAGAAATTCAGCCATGTGGGAGCCCACCAGGTAAGAACACTGGTGGCGAGCAGCAGCCTGTGGAGAAGGTTGATAAAGTCTGGGTCACCCTTGTCCTTCTGGGCTGTACTCAAGGTGGGTCCCCCTTAGAAAGAGATAGTGTAGGGCTTATTGTTGCCTAAGAGGCAGGAAATTCAGGTCATGCTCTACCACCATCTTGCAAGTCACCTGACCCCTTTGTACCTCAGTTACTCAATCTACAGACACTAGTAGACGAAGTAGACACTAAAGATGTGTCTAAAGATGCATCTATTCAAAGCCTAAGGTGTATAGATAGTTGGACAAAGTGATATTTTCCCCCGTCATCTATGATATAAACTCAAGAAGTCCCCAGCAAAGAGATTCAAGTACAGAAGCCCCATGAGGACATCCCTACAAGCATCCAGCCCAGACAGGCTCACCATGATGGCAATGTAGTGGCGCCAGGAACTGGCCAGGGGCCCATCTGTGTGCAGCAGCAGATAGTGTAAGCGCCAAAAGCTGCTGAGGTAGTCAGGGTGCAGGCCCATCACCACCGCCAGGTTATCCACCCGCCCTGAGGACATCAGCGCCTCCAGTCCCAGGTGCTGCTCAAGGCTCTCAGCCCCCTCCCGAAGAACCTGCCAAACAAAGAGAACATGGTTTCCCTCCTGTCTTTCCCATCTGAGACCAACATATCCTTTGTGGTGCGTTTATAATAGCAAAAGACTGAAAACCACCATCATATCCAAAGAGGGAATGGGGAAGAAAAAATATTTAATTGATTAAATACTTATTTGGTACTTTATATAATAATAGACAAGACTTATATAATGGTCATTATCTGCCAAGTACTATTGAAGTACTATGAACTTACTTAATCCTTACAGCAACTGGGCTGGAGGTGTAGCTCAGTGACAGAGTGCTTGCCTGGCATGCCTGAGGACTTGGGTTTGATCCCCAGTACCAAAAAATCTAAGATAAAATAATCCTCACAATAATGATAAAACTGAAGTTATATTTTCTCTTATTTTTGTGGTGCCAGGGATCAAACCCAGTACCTCAGACACGCTGGGAAAATGCTTTAACACGGAGAGCTACACACTAGCCCCTTCCCCATTTTTAAACAGGAAAACTCAGGAACAGAGATTACAAGTATGGTTTTGGAGGCGAGGTTGTAGCTAAGTGGCATGCACAAGGCACTGGGTTCCATCCCAGAACAATAGTCGTTTCTCCTGCCTTCATGGAGTTTCTGTCTGAACCTGGCAAATGTACCCAGCCAAGGGTGGAGACGTGCAAAATAGTTCACGTTTCCTGAGCACTCTGTCCATGCCAAGTCCAATTTGGAGCTTTCCCTGCATTATCTCTTCGAATTTTCAGAATATTTCTGTGAGGTGAATCCTATTATTTCCCCCCACTGACAGATGAGAAAATCAGAGAGGTTTTGTTTGTTGCTTGAAGTCACAGATCTGGTAAATGACAGAACCAGGATTCAAACCGAGATAAACTCCATAGCCTATTTTGTTCCTTTATTATAAAAGAGGCTACAGATATAAATAATCATTGTGTGGTTGCTCACCTTACATTTACAAAGGAGGGGGAAATACAGAACTTAGGGGTTTGTTAAAGGTCCTTAACCATTTGGCCCACACATTTGGGAGAGCAAGAGGACAGGAAATAAAAACTTATTCCTCTGTACTGAACGCTGAAGAAAAATGAGCAATCAATTTTTAAAATTTTCTGTGTGTTTTGAGGGTAATTCCACCACACATACACACTAGAATGTAAGCTCTGTGTAGACAGATTTTTGCCTATTTTATTTTCTAGCCACAGTTCGTAAGATGATGCATCACAGATTAATAATTCAACAGATATCTGTATATATAAATGAAAGGGTGGGGGCTGGGGTACAGTTCAGTGGTATAGTATTTGTCTAGCATTCATGAGGCCCTAGGTTCAATCTCAACACTACAAATTAATAAGTATAAATAAAAAATGAATGAATGAACGAACTCTGTAGGTGAAAGATGTCTCTGTTGTATTATAAAGTGAAAAAACAAAACAAATGAAAAACAAACTGAAAGCTATGATCTTGGTTTTCTGTACAAAAGTAACTATCTGTATGGGAAAAAAAAAAAAAAAAAAGCCTAAGCTGGATGGGGTGGCACATGCTTGTAATTTTAGTGACTAAGATGGCTGAGGTAAGATGATTTCAAGTTCAAGATAAGCCTCTACAACTTAGCAAGATCCTGTCTCAAAATAAAAAAGGGCAGGTCAGGGCTGGGGATATAACTCGGTTGGTAGAGTGCCTGCCTCACATGCACAAGGCCCTGGGTTCAATCCCAGCACCACAAAAGGCGGGGGGCAGTTCAGCAGTAGAGTACCCCTGAGTTCAATCCCCAATACTGGGGGAAAAAAAAATCCAGAAAACAATAGCAAATGGTAAATGGTTAACAAATATAATGACTTGTGTTGGGGGTGTAATTACAAGACACTAGAGGTTTCTGACATACTGGAAGTTTTAAAATAATGAACATACATTACTTTAAAAACAAATCATTTTTTGTAATAGACATACAATCAAGGGTGAGAAGATACACAGAGGTAGTTCTATTTCATTAAGAAAATAGAAGCATTGATCTGGGACACTAAAGTATGAATAAGTTATATTACTTTCTCCAAGCCTACTCTTCCTCAGGAAAATGGTGTTGGTAGTGCCTGCTCCACAGAGCTGTTTTGTGTGTAGATTCAAAGCTGCAAGTTAAGGGATAGGAAAAGACCCTGATCCACAATGTCTCATGTCTTTTCTTTCCAGGTACCAGATTTCTAACCCCTTCCAAGCTTACCTCCTCCACTGGGATGAAGGCGCTGGGCCCTCGGCCTCGACGAGACCGGCTCTCCTTCTGTTCCTGGGAAGAAAAACATAGAGGTTAGCTGGAAAAAGGGAGGACAACGAAGAGGACTGTTATTTCTCAAACCTCCTCCTAAAACCATCTTTCTGGTCTACTCTGCATGGAGGAATCAGGTGGGAAATTTGTACCCATTTACTGGATGGTGAACAGGTAAACAGGAAAGAAGGCTCATCCCAGGCTGAATTGTTTAAGAACTGGACAGGGACCCAGGAGCCCTAGCATTGCTTGGTGGGAGGGATCCAGAGAAAAGAAATATACAACCACCATGTTGGACATCTCGGGACACCACCATCTTAGCAGCCCCAAGAACACATACAAAACTCCCCATAGTGTGTATCCCAAAGCCAGTAATCAAATACCCTTGATGCCTATGAAGCAGCTTCAGTCCCTCTCATGATCATTTGACTACTACCACCACCTCATATACAACTATCACCCACAACCCCACCAATTGTCTCCTGACCTCCATAGCCCACCTGCCCCTAGTGATCCTCTGTTCAGCAGCTAGATTTTCTTTTTTTTTAAATATATATATTTTTAGTTGTTGATGGACCCTTATTTAATGAACTTATTAATATGCAGTGCTGAGAATCAAACCCAGTGCCTCACACATGCTAGGCAAGCGCTCTACCACTGAGCCACAACCCCAGCCCCAGACTAACTTTCTGAGTGTAAATCTGATCAATTATCTTCACCCCTTCCAAGGTCTTCTAAATCAGTTAGTGGGCCAGGCTCACCACCCTCCCTCTGGCTGTTCCTTTTGCAGAGCTTTTTTGGGAATACTAGGGATTGATCCCAGGAGTGCTTTACCACTGAGCTACACCCTAGCCCTTTTTAATTTTTATTTTATTTTTTAGGGTCTCACTAAATTGCTGAGAGACTCTCTAAATTGCAAAGGTTGACCTGGAACTTGCAATCCTCCTTCCTCAGCCTCCCAAGTCACTGGGATTACAAACGTGCATGGCCCAGCTTACAGAGCTCTTTCATAGTCCTTCAGGGACTAGAAACATTTTTCTGACCTTCATCTGTGACCCCACAATCCCCAGTGCTTTTGCTTCTGAAAACACTGCCCTCCGATGATCTGTTTTAAGTTGTTCTTCTCCCAGATCATATTTTGTGGAAAGGAGTGCCAGGTCATTCACCCTGTTCTGTGAATGAAAACAGAAAAAGCAGAGAGGCATGGAGGGAATCAGGGCAGGTGATACAAGGCAGATGGTGGTACTATTCTGCTATGATGGTATTTGAGACTCTGTAGAAACCACTAGAATCAGCCAGGCATGGTGGTGCACGCCTGTAATCCCAGCAACTCGGGAGGCTGAGGCAGGAGGATTGCAAATTCAAGGCCAGCCTGAGTAAGTTAGTGAGGATCTAAGCAACTCAGCAAGACCTTGTCTCAAAATAAAACATAAAAAGGGCCAGGGATGTAGCTTGGTGGCAAAGTGCCCCTGGGTTCAATCACTAGTATCAAAAAAAAAAAAAAAAAGAAAGAAAGAAAGAAAAATAAGGCACCAGAATCACACACTCACTAAATCCGTTTCTCCTAGTCCTAGAGATGGGGTTCAGGAAGGATATTTATTTTGTTAATTTAAGGGGGACCCATCACTGGCTTTGGAAAAAATTTACCCAAATAAAAAGTAATGCCTTCATGGGCTGCGGTTGTGGCTCAGTGGTAGAGTGCTCACCTAGCATACATGAGGCACTGGGTTCCGTCCTCAGCACCACATAAAAATAAAATAAAGATATTGTGTCCACCGAAAACTAAAAAATAAATATTAAAAAAAAAAGTTATGCCTTTATTGGAGAGGGAAAGTTCCCCAATCCTCCCTTCCCCATTAAGTTCTAGACTTAATATCTTAGGTGTCCAAGAACTAAAAACTCTACTTGAACCTTTTTTTTTTTTAGTTGGTCAAAAGCCCCCTAAAGTCTGGAAAACCACAAAGGAGAAACACTATTAGACCAGGAAGTCCCAGATGTGGCCTCCAATTATGCCACTAATTTGCTGTATGGCTCTGGGAAAGTTGTGTACACTCTCTGGGCCTTAATCCTAAACAAAGAAAGGGGCTGAGTTGACTGTTCAGGTCCCTTTCAGCCCAACTTCTAGGAACTAATAGGCCAGGTGTCCAAGGCCAGCACACTGACTATCATCAACCCCAAGCACTCCCTTTCCAGCTTCCCTCCTCCCTCACCAGAGAGAAAAAGCCCAACAGCTCTGTCTGGGAGATAAGGACTGCTGACTCCACAAATTGAGCCTCCCCCTCAGGGAACCTGAGGAGAGACAGAGAACCGCAGAAGGGAGGGCAGAATTGAGATGGGGACATAGAGGGCCTCCAAGAGGTGCTGGGTAGAACCTGGGGAAACTCCAGATTTAACTAACTAACTCCAAATTCTGACAAGGAAGAAGGTTAACCCCTAGATCTTTAAATGATGGGTCCGGATCCATCAACATTTTTATGAATAATGATGATGATGATGGCAAAGATAGATAATGTACAGTATAGAGTACATGTAAAACTCAGGGGCTTTGGACATAAATTGCCAGAGCTCAAATGACAGTTTCATTTGTGAGCCTCAGTTTCCTCACCAAATAATAGCATTAGTACCTACTTTCACTATGTCACCATGGCAATTAAATGAGAGAATGCCGCAAGGCTTACCACAGCACCTCTATCACCATAAGCACTTAATAAAAATCAGATGTCATTAACCTCACTGCTATCCCAAACAAGGGTTTCTTAGTCCAAACAGTACATCAGAATCCCTTGAGAAGCTTTTTCAAAAATATCAAATGCCAAGGGGTTGGGGTTTTGGCTCAGTGGAAGAGTGCTCATCTGGCATATGTGCAGCTCTGGGTTCAATCTCCAGCATCACATGGATGGATGGATGGATGGATGGATGGAAGGAATGAAGGAAGGAAGGAAGGAAGGAAGGAAGGAAAGAATTATGTCCATCTCCAACTGAAAAAAAAAAATTTTAAAAATTATCAATGCCAAGGTCCCACCTCCAGCAGTTCTAATTGCATTGGTATGAGGTGGGATCCCAGCAAAATGTACAGCCAGGGTGCAGACCATTGTTTGCACCTTTTATTCATCAGTGTGTCAAGCATAAAGCACCATGCTAAGTGTTTTCCAGGTGGGACTGAAATTAATTTGTTCATATGACAAATAGTTTTGGTGACTATACTATAGGCAGCAAGAATACAGCAGTGAAAATACAAAGTCTCAGGCTTCATATAATTTTGAATCTCGTGGACAAATGAACAGATTTCGAATCAGAAACGTGAATGAAATCTTAGAACAATGATTGCAATGACAAGATGGGACAGTGTGGAATATTTTAGTCTAAGTAGGCAGAAAGAGCCACTGGGGAGGTGACCTTTGTGTTCATATCTAATCAATGAGAAGGCAGCAGGGCCTGTAAAGACACAAGGGACCAGCACTCCAGACAGAGGTGAAGCCCTTAAAGCAAGACAGAGAGATTGGGCTCTACAGCTCTAATCCCTGAAGGCCTCCCCAACTTTGACAGCAGGGGAAGGCCAAGGGACTCAGGCAGGACAGTGTTCACTGCCAAGAGATGACACCTCCAAATCAGCCCTCCATTCCCTGGAGTAGGGAGTCAATAATAATAATAATGATGATGAAGAAGAAGAATAGAAGGTAACAATACTGCTTGCCATTATTTAAGCATTGACTTCAGAGGCACTTCCTAGACATAAAACCACTTTTTTGGGTCCCCATTTTACAGAGTAAGAAGGCTCAGAGAGGACAAGTCACTTTTGGTCATTCAGTTAGGAAAGAGATCTGGCAAACAGACAGCTTCCTAAAGTACAGGAACAATATTCCCCATTCTCTAAATTTCTCAAGGTCTCAATAGTTACAAGACTTTTGCACTTGAGGTTCACTAAGAGAGAAAAGCTCCTTTTGTCTACCCCCAGACCCAGGGACAGGCTATCCCCAATCACAGCACCTGTCATAAAGTTTCTCACCTCAAGGCACATACTAGATCTAGTTCACTGTTGTTACCCCAGTGTGTGGCACAGAATAGGCCAATGGGATTTTCTGTGATGACCCAATGTTTTTGATGGAATGTATTACATCTGCATAAATAAATAGGGTAGCTAGTCACTGTGGCTGAGCATTCCAAACATGACTAGAACAAAAAGTCCTGAAATGTTTACTTTTATTTAAATTTAAATAACCACACATGGCTAGGGGCTTCCATACTTAAGAACACACATTCAGCACACCTGATAAGGGCATGATTCTACCTGCAATTTATAGATGGAGAAAGGGAAACCCAGTGGGGGCAGGTCACTTGCCCAAAGTAACACAGCCAATGTGTAACAGAAGGAGAACCAATAGGAGCTATTATAATTTATAGTTCTAACTCTGGCATCACAGGGGGCAGCAGGAACATTGAAGTCAAACAGCACTCTGGGAGACCACTCAACAGGAGGTCCTCAGACCAGTTGTGAAAAAGAGGATAATCAACTCAGACCTCAGTGCCTGGCTCCTATTGCAATCACTCACTAGATGTTAACTTCTGTATTTGTTCAGCTATGTATAATGCAGGTTCCATCTAATCTTCATCAATCTGAGGGTAAAGGGGACTTTATTTTGCACACAAGGAAAGATTAAAGGTCCAAATGTTAAGCACCAGAGGACAAATATTCAATCTGCAATGTGAACCCAAGTAATACCTATGGCATCAAAGGGCCTTTATATTCTACCATACAGCTCCTGGAAGTGGCCCCAGGCCTGGATATTTAAATGCAGCTCAGTCTGGCTTCCCAGGGTTCTATCCACTACCTGCATTGTCCTCTTGGAGTGGGCCAGCCTTTGTTCTTGGTATGCAGACCCTGGGAGCATTGAGATTCAGCTACAGATTCTTATATATGCTAAGTTTCTACCAGCAGGGAAGGGGCAAACACTCCCTCCCCACCCCCAGTCAGTTGAAGTAAGATATTTCCCTCTGTTTACACCTGAGAGGAAGACAGCACAAGCAACCCAACCTCCATCCAGCTGTGGGGTGTGTGCATGAGTGGTGTCACACACTTGCACACCCACCCTGTTCTTGGTGCCAAGCTAAGTGTTTGACACACCTGAGCTCACGAATACCTCCCAAGCACCCAGAGGGAAAAAGATGTTCTTGTTTCTTTAGAGACAGGTCACTGAGGCTCAGAAAGGTCCTCTCCCAGCTGGGTACAACTCAGATCTGACTTCAAAGCCTGAACAGTTCAAGAAGGTCAGCTAAGCCAACAAGGGGCAGATAATTGCAAGCATTTATGAGATGCACAGAGCAGGCTGGGGATGAGACCTGCAGTTATGAAACACTTAACTGTTCCACATAATTGCACCCAAAGCTCCTATAATGGAGAAGAGGACTGGAAAAGGCTGTGCAAAGGGACTTCATTTGGTGGGGGAGGAAAAGCTTCCTCAGAGGAAGTGATGTTTGAGGAAGTTATTCTAGAGCCTAACAGAGCTTTGTATTACTAGTATTAGAGTGCAGCACTGGGAAGTTTTTGGAGAGTCTTATATATGAAGGTCTTCGCATCCTGAAAAGGGAGTGTGTGGTGAAGTAAGTTAAGGGGCTGTTCCTTAGGCCTTGAGCATCAGGCTGCGTAAGATCAGCACACTGCTGTCTTCTAAAGATTCCACTAAAAACAGACACCTTCTCATGTCCTCTTTTCTCAAGGGAGAAGAATACATAGAAGCTGGGTGCTGTAGCACACACCTGTAATCCCAGCAGCTCAGGAGGCTGAGACAGGAGGATCAAAGCCAGCCTCAGCTAAGCAACTCAGTGAGACCCTTTCTTTAAATAAAATATAAAATAGGGCTGGGGATGTGGCTCAGTGGTCAAGTGCCCCTGAGTTCAATCCCTGGTACACGCCCCCCCCCCCAAAAAAAAAACAACAACAAAAACTACAGGCATCAGCAGCTTTTCCCACTGCTGAAAAGTGATTTCCTCTAAAGGCCACTCCCTCAATGTCTACTCAGACTAAGAGTACCTAGGTACTCTTTCTTTTCTTCCTAGACCACTCTCTAAGCACTGTCCCAGAGAGCAATGGACTCATTCTCACCTCAGGCAGGAGGCAACAGGCTCAGGAAGCCCCTTACAAGTCACTCTGAAGAATGGGGAATGTGTGACCACATTCTGACAGTAGCCCAGGATTTGGGGTGCAGTTACTATGTTCAAGTACTATACTTGGTCCTTTGCTCATATTCTGAGTTAATTCTCCCAACAATCTCATATTCTGAGTTAATTTTCCCAACAACCTCTTAGAGATACCATCAATCCCCATGAGAAGAAACTGCAATCAGAGAGCCATCATTTGGCAAAAAGAACACAGAGAATTAAGTGGAGGGCTGGGACCAGACTGGACCATTCGGTTTTTTTGTTTGTTTGTTTGTTTTTTAAATTTTTTAGTTGTAGATGGACACAATACATTCATTTTATTTATTTATCTATTTTTATGTGGTGCTGAGGATCAAACTCAGTGCCTCATTTGTGCAAGGCAAGGCAAGTACTCTGCCACTGAGCCACAAGCCCAGCCCATCAATGGCCCATTCTAGTACCCAGGTGATCTCAATAATAACATTATTTCCATTTTTTTCATGAACATTAAAGTAACTCAGCTGTGAAGAGGCAGAAGAGGTCATTCCTCTAAATGGGGCTCCTAAATCATGGTATGAAAGGGTAAGGTAACTAAAAAAAAAAAAACGGTAGCAAACCATTCAGAAATCATGTTACACAGAGCAGAGATTTTCCCCAGGTTACCCCCTTTAAGACTAGAACTCTACCAACTCCCAGCAATACACCTCCATGATACCCCAGATTTGGAAACTGAAGAACCAAGCAAAATTCCCTGTAGTGCCGAGCCCACTCCAAAATCCTAGGCCAAAGAATGAGGTACTCTATGGGGTTAGTGAAAGAAGCCTCTCCTCAAGCCCCTTCTCACCCTGGAAAAAGGGGCTATAGTGTAGCTTCTTTTGCTGTATTAGAAGACTCAAAGCTTCAAGCCTGGCATCTAATAGGTGCTTAATAAATGATAACATGTTCATTATTTCCACTGCTGGTCGCGGGTGAGATGTTAAATTAGGTCTGACCTTATTCTTGCCTCCCTACAAAGCCCCTCCACGCTCTGTGGGGGTAGGAGGAGAGTCCCTGCTAAACAAACTTCGAGGACCCCAGACCACTTAGCAGGGAGCAGCCTAATTAGCACAGTCTTCTTCGGGAATCCTTCTCCCAGCTTGAGCTGCTGCTGCTGCCGCCGCCAGCCAACCCCCCAGAGCACCCGCACCCCGTTTCAAATCCGAGGTGTGATGAGGGCAAGGGGAAGGAAGTCGACCTTAGCCGGCCAGACCCAGGTGTCCCATTCCCCAAGGCTCGGAGCCAGGACATCCCAGAAAGTCCTCTGCTGGCCTGCCACAGCCGAGACAGGGAATCTGCGGAAGGGGGCGGGGAGGAGGAGTGGTGGGGCTGCAGCGGCAGGGATTTGCCTGGACTTGAAGACTCTCTCGACAAGAGCCCAAACCCGGGAGAGCCTCGAGAAGGCTTCCCTCTCATTGGCCAAGGAGTCCGATGAAGCCAGGGAGGGCTCCGCAGCCCCGGGGGGTAGGGGGAGTGGAGAAGGGAGGAAGGGAGGGACGACGGGAGGGGAGGGGAGGCCCAAGGCTGCCGGTTGATGCAACCCTAGTCCAGGTTTACACGCTCCACTCCCCCTTTTGAGCCCGGGGGGCGCACCGACTTAGCTCGGGCTAGCCTGAGGCTTGGACGCGGCTCAGGGAAGAGTGTCGTCGATCCAAGGCAGCTTACCTCTCCGGTCCCCGGGGCGCCTACGCCGCCCCGGGAGAACGGCAGATAGCCCTGGAGCTCCGTGCGGCACTCGGTGTCCGCAACGATCATGGTGTGTGCACCAGCACTCAGTCGCGGCTCGCAGAGATTAGAGCACGGGTGGGGTGTCTCGGACGGACGGACGGACGCACGCAGGAAGCTGGAGCTGGGAGTTGCTGGGGCCGGTTCGAGAACCCCAGGGTGTCTCTCGGGGTTCCAGAACGCTAGAGATCCGGAGACGGCTACTGCTGTGCTGGACTCTTCTCCCAGGCTGGCTTCTGGAACAGTGAATGGCCTTGGGGGCCTGGATTTGGTCGAGATGCAGGGGTTCTCACGGCCTGAGGTGCCTCGGAAGTCCGCAATAGCCAGCGCTGCTCGCGGACCCAGCGCTCCTCAGCATCCCCTCCGCGGAACTGCAAGCGCTCGCCTGGCTCTGACACCAGCAGCGCCTCTCAGCTCGCTGCGGTCCCCGGGGGAGGGCGGGGACACAAAAGCCCCGCGGCACAGCCAATCAGATGCCTGTTTCTCGGGAAGGCGGGGGCAACACCTCCCTCTGGAGCTAACTGTTCCTCCAATCGGCATCTGGCAGCGCCCAGGAACTCTGGGAGCTGTAGTCGGCCTCCGACGAATGCTGCAAACTTTTGCAAGAGGGGTTAGTCAGATCACTGGCAATACCAGACAAGACTGACAGCCAACAGAGTCATTAGGGTTGCATGATGAAACGGGACTTTACCGGGCTGGACCAGACAGCCAGGTGTGAAATCCTCTCAAATGAGTTCTTTAGCTTTTCAGTTCCTGGAGCGACGGGTTAGGGTTGGGAGAGGTTTGGCTCGTCGATTCCAGCGGTGCTAATTACAGCGTCGAATATCAGATATTTGGGGCCAAAGGACGCCACTCTCTTCCCCCAGACCCCGGGGAGGACTCCACCTCCAAGTGTACCAGACACAGGGAATCCACCTTATTCGTGGAGTCTCTGGAAAAGCCTTCATGCACTAAAATGCCACTGGCAACCTCACGTCTAATCTCGATCCCTATTGCTGCCATTTCCCCCCCTCTTCTCTTTTGGTGCCTCCAGTCCTGTATTCCACACTTGCCACCCTCTTTCTCGAAACTTTGTAACAAGGTGTTCTGCTGGGTTTATTCTCACTTCTCCCTTTGGCCACTCCTTCTCTGACTCCTCTTTATCTTCCCACTCCCTAAAACGTGGGTGCTCCCCTAGTTTCAGTTTTTATCACTCTTCTCTCCACACTTCTCTGATCTCATCCATTTCCTGGCTTTCAACTCTCCTTTTGCAAGGAAGTTGCCTCTACCAGCACCTTAGCACCTCAAGGCCAAATCTCCTATTCACTTTTCACAGTTTCTTCCTTCACTGTTTTCTTTTGAACCCTTCTCTTTATTTCAATTTTGAAAGCTCTTGTTTATTCGGACTGGGAATCCTGGCAGGGGCCAGAGTGAACTAGGCCTCCCAGGTCCCTTTAGGCTTATGATTCCAAGATGAGCTCTGATGTGTTCTCTTGATTCCAGCTTCTTGGGAGAAAGAAAATAATCTCACCTTCTCCTAAGCTCCCTCTGCACTTGGGTTGGGTCTCATCACTTTTCACACTCTACTTTGCATTGTAATTTTCTGTGTATATGTCTTATCTGACCTTTTAATTATAAGCTCTTGGAGGGCAGGGTCCACCTTTTTACATCTTTTTCTCCTGTTCTATGCCACCTAGCACAATGTCCTGCCAATAGTATGCCTGTAGTCACTGAATCTTCCTATGAATTAAGTACTGTGTGAGCTGAAGAGGTAGCCCAGTGGTAGAGAACTCCCTTAGAAGCAAAAGGCCCTGGGTTCCATTTCCAGCAAAAAAAAAAAAACACACACACACACACAATCACTCTGTAATGTTAAATGTCCAGATCAAAAAGCTTCACTGGTTTCTCATCAGCTACAGAATAAAGACCCCCCCCCCCAAGATTGATATCAAGGCCTGCCAAGATATGCCTTACCTTACTTTTTCCGGCTTTCTCATCTGCCACACCCATGCTCCTTGTTTGGCCTTCAAACCTTTCTTTTAAGTACTTCTCTTTGCAAATCTCTGCCCATTGAAAGTGTATCTGGCATTCAATGCCTTCATTCCTGTTTGTGGCCTGAATGAAGCCTTTGTTCAAATGCCATTTCCTTGCTTCTTCAGCTCAGCTGAAAGTAGTCCACCCACTCCTCAACACCTTTTTCTATCTCTCTTTTTGTTTTCTTTTCTTTTGGTGGTAGTGCTGGGGATCAAACCCAGGGCATCCTGTATACTAGGCAAGTACTTTACCACTGAGCTAGATTCTCAGCCCATTTTTTCTAACTTTTTATACTGTTGGTCTCCAAACTTGACTCATTATCATGTCTATATGTCTTGCCCCTTTCCTTCAACTAACAATGGAATATCATTGACCATTTATACAAAGTGAGGGAACTTCAACTCAGCAAGGTAAAATTGCTTGTTTTGTTAAGTTCACACAGTATCGACTTTTGACCGTACCAGGCTGTATTAGAATTCCTTTAAGATAGGAACTGTGTTGAATTGTCTCTGTCTTTTAAGAGAGTGGTCCTTAACACTGCATGGTGATAGTATTTCACCACCTCACCACCACACCACCTCAATAGCATAAAGTGAGTTTTCTTTTTCTTTTTCTTGGTGGAACTGAAGGTTGAACCCAGGGCTGCTATACCACTGAGCTACATCCCCAGCCCTTTGTGTTTTTTATTTTGGGACAAATTCTCACTAAATTGCCCAGACTGGCCTCCAACTTGCAATCCTTCTGCTTAGCCTCCTGAATTACTGGGATTACAGGCATGTGCCAGGCAGTGGTGCTGAGGATAAGACCAGGGACTCAAAAGCAAGCAAGCATTCTACCACTGGGCTATATCTGTAGCACCCCCAGTAAATATTTCTTAATATATGTGATTTACTCTTATAGAATCTGCAGGAAAAAGACTGAATTGTTCCCAAAGTTTTACTTTCAAAGTCAGTGATTTTGTGAAAAGGAAAAGCAACAGGATTGATATTCTAAATTCGGTGATGTTTTGTAATCCAGTCTCCAAGGAAGGACGGAGAAAGAGGCACAAGTATTAATATTTACTGAGCTTCAGTAAAAGTCCAGCATATATCCATTGTTCTATGTAACAAGGCATTATGTCCCCATTTGACAGATGAGGAAACTGAGCTCAAGAGGTATGTTGGTTAAGATCAGATAATTAATGTTGAGTAGGTATTCAAACTCAGGATGACTCTATAGCAGAAACTCCACCACACTGGTGATGACAGAAGACTGTGAATATGTAAGAAGCATGCTGGCACATGTAACTGATGCTTAAAGCAGATATATTAATTGAGAGTGAAAAACATAACTGTCAAGTAGCCTATAATTGATGGGCCAGCACATCCCTTTTCCAGAGAGTCTTCATGAGAAGCTAAGTTATCATCTGAAGACGGCCAGGGCAGCTGAAATCTAAGCAAAAGAACCAGCAAAAAGATGAATCACTGAACCGGCTCTACTCAGAGCAAACCTGCTCTTTCCCTCCCTCCTTTATTCAGTAAATATTTATTGACCATCTAGTGTGTACCAGGTGCTGTGCTGGGCTCTGGAAATCCAGCCTTGAATTTATCAGTTTGCTGGGGCTTGGAGAGGGGCTGGTGATAATGGCAGGGGCACATTCCTCCCCTCCCCCACGCCTTATATTTTTGGTTCACTCAAGATTTCCTCCTCTTGTTGCCATACTCTCTCGACTCTTGCATCAGCTATGTTAAGGCCACTGATTGGCCAAAGCTATTTTTATTCCTCAATCACATTTCAGTCCTGAAGCCACATCTAGATTAGATTTGAAATGTTTTTGAGATTTCTTCAGCTTCAGATCCTGTTTCAGATTATGAACCTAATGGGATTCTCATCTGTTCTGTATTTAGTTTTGCTGAATTAATTTTCTCTCTCCAATTCTGGCATTATAATGACCTTGTACTGCGACCATTCCAGGGGTGATGATTTATCACCCCAGAAGTCATTTTCTGAGCTCTTCGTATTGTTTTCCTTTCCCAGATTCCAATCTCAGAACACAATTTCTGCCCGGGGAGAGCTTTCAGAGAAAAAAACTCTACTCCAATGAGTTTGATAAAGCCAAAGGGGACACACCTGCCAAAGCTTAGTCAAACATTCATTCAATTACTCATTAAGCAGGCACTGTGTGAGGTGTTGAGTGAGGTCCTTCCTGCATGGAGATGACAGGTCCTGAGCTGTTAAGCCGACAACCAACATTGAAACTGTCCCTCAGAGTTGCACATCAGGAGGCAAGTCGTGGTTACAGACTCTAGGGAACAGAGCCAACTGTCTCCTAAAAGCACTTCTCAGGAGTCAAGCAACTCAAGTGTTAGTTTTCAGTCTTTTCGCCCAAAGCGATCCCCACCACCTCATCTTAGAGTCTGTTTATTCATCTGTAAAACAAAGGAACTGAAATGAGCACCAATCTTTAAGATCCACTGTGGAGAGGGCGGGTGTTGGGCCATGCATATAACTTGCTTTCTTCGATTGCATATCAAAGACAGAAATCTTCAAGTTTGGAAAAGCTCAATCCTCTTAAGAAAGAAAATGTGAAAACTAACCCACTGGATGCTTTCAGGCAATTTGCTGAAAAGCTCAAGTTTAGTTTTGTCGGCGGAGTGAGCCCTTAGCGCCCCCTGCAGGCCTGACCCTGCTACAGCTTAGCCAGAATAGAAAAATAGTAGGGGGTGGGGGTGGGGGGCTGCAGCCCAAAACCGGTTTCAGTTTATACGTTTGTTAGGTCCCTTGTCAGGGTCTTCAGTTCTTGAAAAGAAGCCAGGCAATAGCTAAGAAAAGCTCGGGTGGTTACTGAAGAGTCTCCTGCTGCCAGCAAGGACCTCTCTATTGTCTTGGCATGTTACTGAGGAATATTGAACCCAGGGTGCTCTAACAATGAGCTACATCCCCAGAACCCTCCCTCCCGCTTTGGTCTCGTTAAATTGCCGGGGCTGGCCTCGAACTTGCCATCCTCCTGCCTCAGCCTTCTGAGCCCTTGGAAATACTACCACCATGCAGTGTTAAGGACCACTCTCCTAAAAGACTGCAGCCTAAGCGGACTTCCCATTGTTTGGCTTACTCCCTCATCCTATAAGCAATAAGCCTCAGGTCCAGAGAGAAGGAAGAATTTGCCCCAGCTCCCAGAGAAACCTGCATGCAGGGCTGGGAATGTAGCTCAGTGGTAGACTACTTGCATTGCATCTATGAGGCCCTGACTTCAATCCCCAGCACCACAAAAAGGAAGAACGAAAGAAAAGTTGCCCACAGAAACGAGACTAGAATCTTGAGATCCAAGAGCACCTATGACTTAATAGGGTGCCCTAAGAACCTCACGTTTTCGGAAAGAACAACTTGTCCCTTGCTCTGTTGTCCCGC